CTTGAGCTGGGATTAAGAGGCCTGTGATCCCAGAGTGCTGAGTTCACCATTGTGTCATATGTTGTTTCTCGTAGCAGATCAGTGTGTCCTTGAACTAACAGAGACCTTTCTACTTCTTAATCCTGAGTCCTGGGATTAAAGGCCTGTGAATCCAAATGCAGACATCTTTTTATAAGCAGTTTCTTTAGAAATCGATCGATTTCGAATAATCAGTGTGTCCTTGAAGTAACAGAGGTCCTTCTACCTCTTAATCTTGAGTTGTCCTGGGATAGAAGGTGTATTATTTCCACTACCTGACCCCTATAGTTGGAGGCTTGCTTTGCTGTCTGAATCCTAAGGCAATATTAAATATAGTATAAATTGTATATCACCAAAATTCTCCTTTTAATTCTAATACAAACAGAAGAAGGCTACCACTAACATAAGAAAAACAATGCACAATAAGTAAATTAAATATATATAATATATACAGGCAATGATTTCATCAACAATGTCCAGTTCATTTGCATTTGACAAATACATACTAGATAGTTCATTATCTATTTTATCATATTGTGTATAGGAATTTTTACTTCTGCAAGGCAAAGGACAGGGTCAGCAAGACAAAAAGGCAACACAGAGATTGGGAAAAGATATTCACTAATCCAACATCTGAGAGAGGGCTTATCTCCAAAATTTACAAAGAATTCAAGTAGCAAGTCTCCAAAGCACCAAAGGATCCAGTAAAAAGTGGGATACTAAACTAAACAGAGAATTCTCAGTGGAGGAGTCTAAAATGTCTGAGAGACACTTAAGAAAGTGGCCCTGTGGGCAATAGGAGCTCTAAACGTGGGTCCATATCAGGTACGTCACTCAGCCCCATTGGAAGTATTTGTACATACTTGCCTAACCTTTAACCAACTAAGCTACATTTCCAGATAATGGCTTTAATATTCAAAGGACATATTTTAACATTTTTACATCAGGTGTAGGTTTGTTTTAATGAGAAATGAGCACTCATAGGAATGTATGTATTAGTTTCTTTGGTTCATTTGAGCTTTTGGAGACAGGGTCAAAATAGGCAAGGCTAATCTTGAACTCTAGAGTCATTGACCTTGTCCAGGTTTCTACACTCATTATGGAATTGGAGTTGGTAACCACTTATATTTTAATACCAATTTAAAGTATAAACCAAACTTTAAAATATTTGTAAATTTTCTTTACTCATCTCCTTTCTTCCTCTAGACCCCAATGCATCACAGAAATATCTTTGTCCTTGTAGCCTCTGTACACTTGGTTTCTCATCTAAGATTCTCAATTTAGAAGGAACATGAACTAAAAGGCAATTCACAATTTCAACTCACACCTTCCTAATAGGTTTCAGTTTGGTGAAAATACAATAAGGGTGGGTTGGGTGTATGCTATCAACAATGTATTTTCTTAAGCAGCAGGAAAGATGGTCAGGGTCATTTCTTGTAAAAAGTTTCAGGTCAGTCTTTATGCTCCTGAATAGAGCAGGGGTAGGCACATGCTTGGATAATGATTGATTTGAGTCTTCTTGGAGACTTTAAGAGACTCCATAAGCCTGGGTGTTGGTGGCACACACCTTTAATTCCAGCTCTCAGGAGACAGAGACAGACAGATATCTGTGAGTTTGAGTCCTCCAAAAAATACAGAGAATCTCTGTTTCAAAAAAACAAAAAAAAGACAATCCACATGCTGAGAGTGATGGAAGTTTGGATTTGACACCTCCAGATGATAGATAATGAGGCACACTGAGTTCTCCATTATAGCCAGACCTCGGATTATTACCCTCTGGTTCCTGCAAATTATGAGAAGTGGGAATTCTGAAATAATGTCTCCCTAAACTTTACCAGGTTCCTTCTGTCTGAATATCTACAAAAATGAGCATCTACAAACCACCCACACTCCATGAGCTAGCAGTGCAGAGCCTGCTCTGGAACGAGGCCACAACCATCTCTACTCTGGAGTATTTGCCAATTAATCTCTTCCCACAAGTATTTAAGGAGGCCTTCACTGGTAGACGCATGGGGTTACTGAAGGCAATGGTGGTTGCCTGGCCATTTTCCTACCTTCCTGTGGGGGCCCTGATGAAGACACCAGATGTGGAGTTGTTCCAAGCTGTTCTGGATGGTGTAGATATTCTTCAGACACAGAAGGTTCGTCCCAGGTAAGCAAGACCCAAGTGGACAAAACGGGAGTTGCTGAGCTAGAGGTAGGATATATGTAAAAGGACAGCGAGAATGTGGTCAAAGTGGACAGAATGTGGTCTGTGCAGCTTCTACTCATGTTGTGACTTCATGCAATGACAGAAGTGGATGAGAGCTCAGAGTAGATGAAACCACAGTGGAGTGAGCTATCCATGGGTCTCCTACATCCATTTTATGTTTTGGGGAATTTTTGGGGGGTTGTCTTTTTCTTTTGTGTTTTTTTGTGTTTGTTTGTTTGTTGAGACAGTGTTTCTCTGTGGCTTTTGGAGGCTGTTTTGGATCTAGCTCTTATACACAAGGCTGGCTTCGAAGTCACAGAGAATTGCCTGACAGGTGAGAGGGATATGTTGGAGCTGACAAGAGAGAAGCTGGACAGAGGCTATTGCTGAGGTGGATCCTGTTTACATTATGAAATTGTACCTTTTTCCTCACAGAAGTTGGAGGCTTGGAATACTTGATTTGAGGAATATGAACCAGGATTTCTGGGATGTATGGGCTGGGAGAGACTGGTACTACTCAACAGAGACTGAAAGGAATGCACAAGTATGCAATGAACTGAGGCAGGATTTGAAGGTTGTCACTGAACTTAGTCTCAGTTCCCACCTGAAAGAAGACCAAGCACACTTGTTGCATTGGGCCCAGCAGAGGAAAGACCGTGTGCGGCTGTGCTGTGTGAAGATGAAGATTTGTGACTCTCCAATCGAGATTATCAAGGAGGTCTTGGACATTTTCCCACCAGATTATATCGAGGAATTGGAGCTATACACAAGCCAGGTGCAGCCCTTCCTTTGTCACATTGCACCTCATCTTGACCGTATGACAAGACTTCACAAATTTAATGTAATTCACATGGTCTTGAACATACACACAGTCAAAAATACCTTGGCGGATATAGAGATGTTTCCTGTCCAGTTTCTCTCTCATTTCTGCAAGCTCAACTCCCTCAAGCATCTTTCCATTGATGGCATATACTTTCTCCCGGGCCACATGCATGTTTTGTTTGGGTAAGGAATGATGGAGAACTGTTTATACTGTTTCAGCAACCCTTTTCCCCTTATTTCAAGTATTAGTGTACCGTGGGGGTGTCCCAGCCATTGGGGATTTAACAGTGATGGAATCATCACAGTATCCAAGTGTGGACATGTATCCTTCTTAACTGAGGTTACTTGGTTCAATGACCAGCAGTCAGAGCTGGGGTAGGAAATGTTTAGAGAGCTGAATTGAAAGCAGTTCCATTGGGTGTGTCAGACACATTGAGTGTGCTGTGGACATTCCTTCTTGAGATCCTCGCTATGCTAATGGGAAGGGAACAGGGCAGAGTAGAAAGTCCTGAAGTGGGGAGTACCCACACCTGCATAGGAACCTAAGGAACTCTGTACCCAGATCTGTGAATAGGGGCCAGCTAGTTCTTCTGGTGCAGCCTGTCTCAGCCTCTAAGGCCCTCTGGAGAGAAGGACACTATGAGCATAGTTTGAGACATATTGGGTGGAAAATGTTTGTTGCTGGGGTGATGGACTTTCAGTTTAAAGATTGGGACATTGAAATCAGGAATTGAAGCTGTGACTGGTAGCAGGTACAGTGGTGATTTATGTAGGATACATGCCAAGATACTGCCAGAATCTTTTTGTGGTAGTCCTCTGGGTATGAGCTCCTGGCCTGCGTTGGCAAATTCTAGTTCTATTTGACAGAAAGCAGATGGCGAGCTGGAGATATGTGGTCTGAGATCATTCCAGATTATGTATATGCCTCAGAATTCAATTATATGAGAATGAACCAGAAGGATGTATTCCAAGTGCTGACCTTCAGCATAAGGCTAGACTGACTTTGTATATATCGTCTGCTGTGTCTCAGTGTCAAAGTTTTTGTTCCCTCTAAAAGCATAAAGTAATTTCCTTTTCTTCCCTAGATGCCTGAAAAGCCCATTGGAGACCTTGACCATCGCTCTCTGTCGTCTCTCCCAGTCAGACTTGAAACAGTTGTCACAGTGTCAGGGGCTCTGGCAACTGAAACACCTGAAATTCAGAAATGTAGTTTTGTCCAGGTTGGGTGCCCCACATCTCAGAGTTCTACTTGAGAATACAGCAGACACTTTGCAGACCCTAGAGTTGGTGGAATGCTGGATGGAGGACTCTCAATTTCAGTGCCCTGTTGCCTGCCCTGAGCCTGTGCTCACATCTCAACACTGTGAATTTCTGTGATAACAAGATTTCCACTGCAGTACTGAAGAAGCTTTTGCAGAGTGTGGCCAATCTAAGCAACATAACTGTAGAGTTCTACCCCGCCCCACTAGAGTGCTATGATCCCCTGGGTTCTGTCCTGGTTGAGAAATTTGCCCAGTTATGTCCTGAGCTGCTGGATATACGTTGTGCCAAAAGGCAGCCCAACACAATACGTTTTACTACAGACATCTGCCTTGAATGCTACATGCCATGTTTTTATGACACTGAGGCCAGACTTTGCCAGTGCTGGCAATAATTAGGAGATTTCTTCTGGATACTGAGAAATGAAAGTCTATGGGTTGGATTCGAATAGTTTGGACCCAGAACACATGGCTTCAGGCACTGTGTGATGCAATGGAAGCAAGAGTGTTCAGGTGATGCACGCCATAGAGACTAGCTTGACTTGAAGTATAATGGGAGCACAGTGATATTGTCTTGTCAAATCAGAAAGGCAATTTTGCATTTCTATCTGTACCTCTCTGAAAACAGGATCACCATTGACTTGCCAATATGTGACAGTCTTAAGCATGTGGTCACACTAGGAACGTGGATATTCTTCACTGATGTCCTCAGTTATTGATCTCAGCTTTAGGTCACAGTCAATGTGTCTTGAGACAGCATGAGTACAATTAAGGGCATTATGGTCCAAGGATTGTCTTCATCAAAATGAAATGAAGTGATTTATGGCATTGCCTTTCCCCTACTTCCCATCGTATGGCTGATCAGTGGATTGTTTGTTTAGACTTGTTAACTGAATGCAGCAGTGTGGCCCTGATCTCCTTTGAAGATGATTTTGGAGAAACACAGAAAATTGAATCGCAGGGTACTCAGACAAGGTTTGCTGGGAACCCCTTGAAGATGACTGATGCCGAATCCTTGCCTAGAAACATGACTGACCTGAGACCTTGTTCACTCTGTGCTTGTTAGCTCTGTCTTTATTTTCTAAGAGAGTAGCCAAGTCAGCTATTTTATTGTATCAGGTAGCATTAAGATAATTTTTATTCCTCTGTATTTTCATTGGTCTTATTTAAATAAAACAAATGCCCCTATTCTCACATGTCATTCTGTTGCCCTGCTAACTTAGCACACCATACTAACTGTGAAGGACACTTGATTATCACACTTTGGACAGAACCATCCCTGGGGAGTGATGTGATTACCAGCATATGGAATATCTACACAAGACCATGATTCCTAACACCTTTTAGAAAAGTGTGGAGGTTCACAGAGTTTATTGTTTCATCAGTGCTCAAGGGAGTTGTCAGTCACAGGCTAGGAGCCTACAGTGACTATGAGGAATTTTCTTGTTCTTCTCAAATATTTCTTATTTTAGCTATGAAGCTGGAGTCCCACAACACACCTTAATCACAGCATATAGAATACATCCGGTATCCATGCAGTGAGGGTCTGAGCGCTTTTCAGGTCAATTCATCCACAGAAAGATGGAGGAAGACACTGCAGCCAGGTTGTTCCTGCCTGAGGGTCGCTTGGCTACCAGTGTTCTTCAAGATAAGAAGCCTTGAAACTCTTCTGGATGCAGAATTCTGAGGAACGTGCAACAGAAGCATTTTGAGTGGCTGGATCACCTGGGCCATTTGTTTACATTGGTGTCTAGTCCCCCTAATTCTGAACACGTATTATCTTTTAAGGAAAACATACATATGTGTATCAGTACAAGTATAAACCGTGTGTTGTGCACAAGTTTACCAAGATGATTTTTTTTGTTTTTTCAGTCAGGTTTCTCTGTGGCTTTGGAGCCTGTCCTGGAAGCCAAAGATGTTTTTTTTTTGTTAATGTTTGAGCAGAAGTCCTGTTCTTTTGGAAAGATGTTCAATAAACTAATAGATGCCTTTTGGCTCACTGATGTGGTACAAACCCAGACGTCAGACTGGATGCTCAAGTCCCAGGCTGGTGGGAAGATATTTATCGACCACTTAATGCTATTCTGCTATGGAGTATTGAAGCCACACACGGCCACCTGTGTCATCAAGTCCTTGGCTGTTGTGAAGATATCCACAGCACATCCTGATGCCTTTGGTCCTAAGCTGCATGCAGGTGACCAATAGTTCAGATTGTGTCCTCAATTGTAAGTCTGGGGGAAGACATACATGGGCCCTGCCAATGACATCCTGCTCAGGTGGGTGGAAGCCAACCACAGGCACAGACAGTGTCCTGAAATCCTGAGATGGAACGAAGGTGTTGATGTCAGAGGCAGATGCGAGAGATGTTTCCATTATCAGTCATGTGACAGCATGGGCAGGAGAGATATTTCCCCATCTGGCCCCATCAAGGCCCGAGGCCCTGAGATCCTAAGAGTGGGAGAGCTGTCTCTGCCTTAACCTATCTGCAGCACTGGGGAGAGTGGTCCCTATACCATGCCTGGACAACATAGTAGAGCTGACTCTGTAGCTCTAAGTGTGGCAGAAGTGTGCCTTAAAATGTAAAAGCCAGAGAACTGGCATTGCCCCTTGCTCATCCCTGCAAGAGGTGAACTACCTAGAGCATTGAAGGAGAGCTCACCCTCGTGATAAGACAGGTGAGAGCTGGCAGGCTGACAAACCCTGCAACTGCCCAGGCTTACAACCAGGGTTATGTGGTGGCCAAACTTCCATCCACCCAATCTATGATATGCTGAGCATAGGTGGGGTGGCATAGAGACTGCAGCACCTCCAGACAAATTCTCTCCTCTCAGTCAAATTCTGGCCCCCTGCCTGACCTAAACAGGAAGGGACGTCGACCCTCCAGGGAATAGGACAGGCTGTGCCCCAAAGAAGCCTCAGAATTCTCAAAGTGGCAGAATCTGAGGCCCACACAGGGCATTTTCAAACATATATTTTGTCTGGACTCCCTACTTACCTCTGGGATAGGACCCCTGCAAGAAATGGGAGGGCCCTCACCACCCAGGCACCCAAGTCCAAAGTAAGGAACCCCAGATGATGCAAGGGATGGGCTGGAGTCTGGGGAGGGTATTAGGTAACCTGGACCAGGGAGAGGTTTGCCCAGTGGCAATCCTCCCTTTGCATACGAGAGCTCCGGATGACAGGAAGTGTTATGGTCTTTTTGATGATGGTCACTGTTGCACTGCCAGCCCCCATACCCATCATATGCCTATCTGATGAACCTGTAAGTGTGGGACAGTGGCCCTTACCAATGGCGAAACTTTCGGTGGCTCACTAGTTAGTTCAAGGACAATTGGAGGCAGGTAATTTGGTCCCCTCCATGTCCCCCTGGAATACCCTGATATTTGTAATTAAAACATTTTTCAAGGAAATGGAAGTTACTACAAGCCCTGAGGACCGTGATTGTGAACATGCAGCCTATGGGGGCGCTCCAGCCCTGCTTGTCCTCACCTGTGGCCATTCCTAGAGACTGGCATTTGATTGTCATTGATTTGAATGATTGCTTCCTTTCCATTCCACTGCATTCTCAAGATAGTCCTCGGTTTGCGTTTAGCCTTCCTGCAATTAAATTTAGGGAGCCTGCCCTTCACTTCCAATGGGTGGTGATCCCCCAAGGGATGGCTAACAGTCCAACTATACACCATATTTATGTAGCTACCTGTTTAGATCCACTCAGACATAAGTTCCCTGATCTTTACATTATTCACTACTTGGACGATATTCTTTTGGCCACAGCTGAAGAAACAATGCTACAAAGCCTTTGCAGAGCTACAGGAGCTCTTAGAGGCCCGTGGATTCATTTTGGCTCCAGAAAAAGGCCAGGTATGCCCTATAATTGTTGTTAAAATGTATAGAGCAAGCCCACCTTTGGCGCATAGATTATGGGTAGCCCCTTGTTCTGGTTGTACTTTCATTGAGCTTTTCCCCCACTGCTGTGTTTTGGCAGACTGGTCCCATTTATTGGATACATTTGTCAGCCTCCCCTAAGAAATTAGTGGACCCCTACTATGATCTTATTTTTCAATTGTTGTGGCATAAACACAAGTTTAGCATCCAAACCTTTGGAAAGAGTCCTGAAAACATTATCCCTCCTTATGATAAGGAGGAGGTGGAACATCTACAGATCTACCATGATGAGTGGACACTGTTTATTACATCTACAGGCACCAAGTTTAATAACCATTATCCCAATAACCCCTGGATGTCTTTTTATAAACAACGCCCTGTGATTTTTCCCAAGATTTTAAAGGATACCCTCTATTTGGACGGCTCCTCCAAGGATTTTGAGTTGCTGGTTTCTTCCCAGGTGCAGAAGAGGGTACCCATAGGGCAGATGCCAGCACAAGCCACCGAGTTGTTTGCCTGCTTGATGGCCTTCCAAATGTTTGAGGGGGAGCCCTTTAATTTATATACTAATAGTTTTTGTTGCCAACATAGGTATACCTTTAGAAACTTCTCCATATGTTCTTCCAACCTCTCAGATTTGTTCCTTATTAGTTCAGCTCCAACATCTTATTTGGCAGTGCATCTACCCTGCTTATGTGGGATTTGTTCATGCACATACTAACCTTCCATTTCCCCTTGCCCAGGGCAATCAATTTGCTAGCTCCTTGACCCACCCTAGGGTCTTATTCACTCAGGAGCAGCTTGCCCACCAGCCCCATGAGTGGTATTATCTAATTTCCTGCTCCATTAAATTTCTCACCGGGTGCCCCTTATACATGGCTATGCAGATTACACCTCAGTGCCCTGATTTTGCCTCTTTAAATACATGAATATCTCAGTGTATCCTCCTGGCCTCAGGGCCAACCATCTCTGTCACAAGGAACAGACAATGGCCCTGTCTATGCCAGCAATCACTTTGCGGCCTTTTGCAGTGAACATCACATTTTCCATTCTTTTGGTATTCCTCACAACCCCATGGGACAGGCCATTGTGGTGTGGACCCATTCCACTCTCAAACAATATTTTAAGAAATAAAAACAGGTGGAACATGTTACATCACCCAATATTCAATTCTCCACCGTAATTTACATTTTAAAATTTTTGACCAGAGACAGTAATAATTTGTCTGCTATGGAAAGACATTTGAACAACCCCCCCACCCAGTTTTTGGGATGGGTCAGATGGAAGGACTTGACTACAGTAAAATGGAAGCCACCCACTCCCTTATTAGCTGGGGTCCAAGGGGCTCTTTGCGTTTTCCATCGAGGAAAGGAGAAGCCCATTTTGGTCCCGAACGGTGCATCAGGCTTGTTGACCCCAATACTACTCCTCATACTAGGAATGCTCACCAAGAAAAAGATGATCCAACCATCGCCGAACACTCACGTAAGGGAAGTATGTGTGCTGGTGAGGATCTCCCCCATTTTGATACCAGTTAGTCATTCCAGCTCAGTGTTCATTGCCTTTTATAGCACCACTAATACATTGGGAGTGGCTGCTGCCAATGAGAGATTAAAACGTCAGAAACTAAACATTCTCAGTTTCTCCTCATAAAGGGGAATCTCTGTTTTATTAAAAATATTTAATATCTCTAGGATTAAATCTCCAGGATTTTGCCTGACACAATGGTTGGGAAAGAAAGGATAACCTGAGTGATTGCCCCCATTGGAGGGTGGATTGGATTAAATCTCCAGGCCTTTGCCTGACACAAAGTTCTGGAAAGAAAGGGGAACCTGATAGATTGCCCTCAGTTGGAGGGTGGATTGAGTAAATCTTAATGCTTTTGCCTGAGGGAATATTGTCAGTTGAAGGATGGATTTGAAATGGGTAAAAGACCCAGTGTTGGTGGCTCACACCTTTAATCCCAGCAAACCCTTTAATCCCAGCACAATTTTAACCCCAGCAAACCCTTTAATTCCATCACACCTTTTATCCCAGCACTCGGAGGCAGAGGCAGGCAGATCTCTGTGAGTTCATGGCTATCCTGGTCTACAGAGTGAGTTCAAGGACAGTCCAAAATAATACAGAGAAACCCTGTCTCAAACTCCCCCAAAAATCCCGAAATATGGGTGAATAAAAAAATTGGTAACAGTAAACGAGAAACTGGTATTAAGTAAAGAAAAATGAAAAGACAAAGGTATATGGGATCGAAAAAATTGTTTGCATTTAAGGTCAGTTTTGTGAGTCATCTCTAAAAACATTTGGCCAAAATCATGG